ATAAACAGCAGAAAGAATGATGATGCCCGTAATCCAGTGCGTAAATAGTGCAACTATTGATTCTCTGGTTCAAGAATATTCGATTTGGATTAGTTATATCTGGCGTGGCCATAATCCAGGAGATACCTCACTGCACTGAGCACTGAACTGAGGATGAGTTTGGCAGGCGGAAAGTGAACTAAAACTAAAACACGACAAAAATGAAATGATATGTGAAAGCTGAAAATCCATTACACGCCTTTGTATTACGCAAATACAAACACTGTGACGGCCCATGGCGTTCGTATGTGTATTATGTTTGCGTGTGTGTCTGCGTGCATGTATATATATATATGTGTGTGTGAGTGTGTGTATGCGTGTGTGTGTGTGTGTGTGTGTGTGTGTGTGTGTATGTGTCCGGGTATTTCAAATCAGCAACCAAGCAAGCTGCGGCGCTAAAATTTTGCCAGCGAACCCTCCGGCCAAATACCATCCCAGGATGACGGTGCAACGTTCACGCACGTCTGGGCCCGCGTACGAGCAAGTTTCGGCGGGAAAGTCGCTAACTGGAGAACCAGAAAAGCTGGAAAAATGAAATTTTAACAGAATGTTTCCTGTACAAGTACCACGTAGTTGCACAATTAAATTCCTGAACTTCGACGACTAGTATGTCATAAATTGTAGCTACTAGGATTCCAAGCGATTTTACTACAGCACGAAACATTGCAAAAACGCATGGTCGCACAGGCTTGCCTGGTGCGCGTTGCCAAAGATTTTTGTAGAATTTCTTCCTGTTTTTGAAGCGCACTGGAACGGCTATGTGAAATTATGTGGATGAAAGAGGTCCATCATAGAAAAGAATGAAGAATTTGTCAGTTGCATCAGTGACGAAATGTAAATACTTAATTTTTGATCTTTCACTTTTTACTGAGACAGAACCATGCCACTTCTTTAATTGACGGTTATTTTGACTAATGCTGCGTCGCCTGGTAGGCATCCTTGTAACGAGCCTGATGTTCCTTATCATTCCTAAAGACTCTATGACAGATGCCTCAGTGTATAAAAATTAAAACAAAAACGTCGGATGTAGAAAATGGGCGATTTTTTTTAAAAAAATTAGGAAATTGGCTTTTAAATCTATTACCTCGCTGATGATGCACAATATGAAATATGAAATTGGTTTTTTTGTTCATTGCTTAGGAGAGGAATAAAATGAATGAAAAATGTGAAATCGAGTTCCCGCACCCCGTACATTTTTTAACTTGGTTTATGGTAGTAGATTCGCAACTTGAAAATAAAGGGCTGCTAACGGAAGTCAGGGTCAAAGGGCCTGGCATAGCTGTACTTGGCTTTTGGGACCATTCCAGTAACATTATTATCATTGGTCACGCTAGTCTTAGACATCCTTAGCCTCCAAGAAAGTATGACTGGTCAGAAAACGTTGAAACAGGTCTTAAATTAGCTGACATACATAACTGTGCACAGGAAGCATGCATTGATTAAAAATAAATCATGCCATTATCGCCTTATCAATCGAGCTCCTGGACGCTTTTGGAAGAAAGAAAGAGAGGAAGAAACAGATGAATCATCCGAAATTCTTCTGTTTTTCCATGGTTTCCCTGCGCTCCATGGTTTTTTCTAAATTCTGGCAACTACTAAAACTCGGCTCGGCTGACGTCATACACGATCTGCGATCAAATTTTTTTGGGTGTCCTTACCTTGCTGCAGTAAATCTTTCTTTTCTACCTTACAATTAACAATACTTCAACTGACAGGAACATTAAGTCATTACTGACGATGGATAAAAATTTCAAAAGCGCAAGAATTTTAAAAAAGAACTCGATTACACTGTATTCTAGTTGCACGCTATAACATTAGACGTACACTCTCGTTTTCAAACTTTCTGCAATTTGTGTAATGGCCCAAATCAAAAAAAATTTCGGGACTTCCCAACTTCATTATATTCTAATGATATTAAAAACGACATAAACTTATATAAAATTAAATTAAAAAATTAGATGAACAGGATCGTTTTAGTCCATTAAGCCTTACACATTTCTATTCATCATCACAACTGGACCTCATCAGTATGACTGTCTTGTGTGAATAAAGACCAACATAGAGTGAAATAAATTTGTATAAACAATGGGTTACATGATGGTTTGGTGAGGGAGTTACACATACACTCTCCTCTTCAGCTCCCTTGCAGTTTGTGCAATAACCAAAATAAATAAAGCTTTATTTCGACGATAGTACAAATCTATTACTAATCCGACCAGTGAATTAAAAAAAAACAACTATCAGCGTACGAACAAAGCCTAGAACAACTACTGTATCAACATTCAATAACACAACAATAACACGTTTCATTACAAAAGAAAAAAGAAAAAAAAAATGGATTTCTGTTCTCGTTTTAACAGAAAAGCCTCATTTTTCACGGCTAATCATTGC